ATCATCATCATCATCATCATCATCATCATCATCATCATCATCATCATCATCATCATCATCATCATCATCATCATCAACAACTATAGAATTTTTTAAAGAATTCAACAGTAACAATATTTGACTTTTTTCTCGAAAGCCCGTATGTTCCAACAATAAATAGACTTCATCCATCAAATAATATCCTACTTTTCTAATATTTTCATTATTAGAAGAAAGTGAAACTACTATAAACCCCAAAGCATTGATCTCTAAAAGTTTTCTAAAGTCTAATAGATTCCCATATGAAGATATTAAATTTGCAAATAATGGCAAGAAAAATGATGGATCATATGTTGGAGCCAATTTCGGATTTTGGATTTTAATAATATTTCTATTGCTATTATTAGCTGTGCCCCCTACACATTTTCTTCCCGTAACTTCTTTTAATTCATTTTCAATCACTGTCACTAATTCTTCCTTTTCAAACGTTATGGACAGATCCTTATCAATTGGAAAATGCGTATAACTATAGATCATTATTTTAGGATCAATCAGTCCTAATGTCTCAACGAGAACTCTTTGTCCCATCAATTTCTGTCTACTCATTTGTCGATTTGATCCAGGTCCCCAATACATAGCACTAGATACAATTGATAATTTAGTGATTTTCTCATATAAAATATAAATATCAAGCAACAATTGATCTACCAAGGATGTGGTCGCTCCATAGTATGTGAAAAGTAAATCCAGATAATCAGGCTTGCAGCAATTTTTTGGATCAATATGAAAAATCTTGTTTATTAAATAAAATATTGAAAGTCTCACTGCTTCATCGTCATGATAATTATCATCTTCTGGTAGTGGTGTTGTTGTAAAATGTTTAAATTTTGGATTATTAAATATAGCTTCAAGAATTTTATCCAATGGTGGACCTAAAACATTTGATTCTTTGCGATACTCACAAACTATCAAATTTCTCACACAATTCAAAATCACAAAATCTTCAAATCTCTTCTCTAACAATACAAAAATAAATTCGCCAATAATATTTGCATCTAGATTTTTAACCTTTGGAATAATTAGTTTGATCAATGATTCTATTTTAGTAAATATCCCTCCAACTAATATTCCTTGTTCATCGCCATCATATTCTTTATATTTATCTTTTTCTAGAAATAATGTTGCATGATGTAAACAATCCATAATAAATTTTCTGAGTTGATTGATTGTGAAATTGTCAATGTTACCATCACAGTTTAAATAATATTCGATAATAGTTAAGTGATTTAAATTGAATTCGATCGTAGAATAATTATCAATAATTTGATTTAGAGTTTTGATTAATTCGTTATCAGGACTCAACGACAATAAACTATTAATAATATTGACATAATGTAATGAATTTTTTGAATTCAATGAAATTTCACCACTATTATTACTACTTGTTAACTTTTTAAAGAATATCAAAGAATATTGTTTTGATAATATTTTTATAGCTTTTTTATCGTGATCAGTTGCAAGATTTGACCAAGTGATTGTTGTTGAGCTTGTAGTGGAAGACACAATTTCTAAAACATATGTAAGCAATAAAGACACATCTACTAAAGATAATTTGTTCAATAAATTATTATTATTATGATTATTATTTAAAATTTGCTTAACAAATTCTAAACGAAATTCTGCTTTTCTCATGACAAGATATGACAGGATTTTTGTTCTTGTCGTATTCAAATCTGAAAGAATGTATTCCACAACCTCAATATCTATTTGCTTTGGCAATTCACCAATCAACCTTTTATAATTATTATTTTTTTGTAGTAAATTCAGATGTTCCAAACTTGATGACGATGATGGTGTTAGTCCAGGTGGCATATAACTTTCTACTATTTGTAAAAATATTAAATCAAGTTCTGAAGAGTGAGAAGAGGAGAAGGAAGATGGATAATTCTTCCACATAAAAATCAACTTTTGATATAAATTATCGGATAATTTTATAATGGAAGCAGTGGATTGATGGTGATTATACAATTTATTAAAGACAATCAAAAGAATTCTATAATATCTATTAAGATATCCGCTATTTGAAATAAAAGAAATTGTTGATCGATCTATGTTCAAGATATTTTCTAACAGGTCAACTAATTCACCTTTTTCCCAGAATTCTGAAAACTTATCAAATAAATAAATAAATTTGTCATCTGATAATAATTTTGTAAAGTACTTTTTTTTTGATTGATTGTTTTTTTTAGTTGCAAAAGAAACAAGATTCAATAATTTAATCTTGAATTTTGATAAATCGTTTGATCGGTTTATATCATATTTTTTATGTTTAATGATATTTTTTTTATCAGTAAAATATTCAACAAGATCTGCCACAACTATAAATAGAATTTATCAGTAAATTTTATCAAAAAAATATAAATATTAAGGATAAACATTCGTACACTCATCCAAAGCATCCAATAATTTAATGAGAACTTGATTTTCTTTTAGGTTTTCGACTTCTCTCAGTAAGAAAAGCTCATCGAAGACAGGCCATCCAACTATCAAATTTAAGGAATCTTTCAATACATTAGAACATCTATCATCATCACCTTCTTCTCTAATATCACTATTGTTCTGATCTAAACCTTCTGTTGATCTGACCAAAATCACTTTTAGTAATTTAAAACATAAATGCAACTCAACACATTGATTATTACTATTTCTATCATCATCATCATCATAATCATCGTCGTCGTCGTCGTCGTCGCCATAGTGTCTACTGAGAATACATCCAATTAAAAGTAAAATTTGGCGTGTAGCATTAAATAATTCAATTAACGGGGTTGATTGCAATGATTTGATTAGAATATGAGAGACTGATGGTTTTTTCAATTTGTGGATTGAATTTGATAATAATATTGAGAATGGAGTTGATTTCAACATTGGAGATAAAAATTCCTGATCACCACTAATTATTTATAATTTAATAATAATAAAAATAATTGACCATTTTTTAAAAAAAAATATTCCAAACATAACAAAGACAAACCTGATAAAATCCAAATTCTCGACAGTATTATCAAGGATTTTTTTATCAATAACATCTAACAAACTAACAATATCTTTATAATCAAAATCAAAAAAGCTTTCTGATCCGTTCCCTTTCAACTTTTTTACATAGAAATAAAGATAACCTGGTAAAGGTTGTTTCCATAAAAGACTTTTGAATAAATTGTGTAGGAAATGAGTAATAGGCAACAAGTGGTTGTCACCCTTTAGATCCTCATATTCTTTTACAAGAACAATAAACAATGGACTAAATGGATAAAAATAGTAAGGTATTTTTTTGGAAATAAGAGCTGAAAAAATCTTCCTAGAAACTATGTCATTTATATTATTATTGTTGTTGTTGTTGTTGTTAAGCGTGTTATCAATATTCATCACATTATCACCATTTTGTAGATATCTATCTTCCAATTCGTTAGAAAGTTGACTGATTTCATCAATATACGGAAACGGATCTTTCAAATACTTTATTATACAGTTATCAAGAAATTGTAGTACGATTTGTTTAGTTTTAAACATGTCATTATAATCGCCTTTAGCAGTAGATCCTATATTTATTGTTAACATCTGAAGACTTTTGAGCCAAAAAGAGATTTCAGTTGGATCATGTTTAAATAAGATCGACTTTTCCAAAAAATAGTCAATTACACGTTTTGCAGCTAAAGAAACTCCAGAATATGGGGTGGTGATAAACAAATCTATAATGGTTGTCAGATGACTAAATGACAACAATGATGAATTATTCTTATAATCCATTGGTACCTTATTCAGCCAATTAAAGTCAGGAACGAGCAACAACAATTCCAAGAAATGGATTTGAAAAATTAATGGAGCTTCCACCAAATTTCCTGGAATTAATTTGCCTAAATCAAATTTTGACTCAATAACTGCTTCCGGTAAATACTGATGATAATATTTAATTAGTCTCAAAATAATTTCTTGCATCAATTCATTTCTTATTTTTGCACCATCATCCTCACCCTCATCTTCTTCATCTTCACTTGGAATATTGTCAAGAGTCATGCTTGAATTATTAACATTATTATCAGTAGCAGAAGTCCTATTATACATTCTTAATAATATTTGAATATCAGGCATTCTACATTTTAATTCTTCAAATAAACAATTAATTATTTCTTTCCATTTTTCTGATATTAATAATGGTGCAAGCGTTTTATCAGATTCTAATTCCTCGATTATTTTTCTAAATGATTTTATAACATTACCAAATTTTTGTAAAGCTGAACATAACAAAACTAATATTTTATATTTGACCAAGTTACTGTTATGATTTAAACATTTGTTCAAAATGACACGATCAAGCATTTGCGGAAGAATGTTTTGCATTATAGTTGAAATCTCTGGAGTAATATTAGGATACTGGGTAGTTCCTGGAATGTAAAAAGCTGGAACAGGCAAAGCAATAATTTTTTGTAGTAATGTGATATTTGCAAGCCATTTGTATGAAATAGAAGGTTCTAATAAAAGAGTTGCAGATTGTAGAAATCTTTGAGAAAATTTTTGAAAAATATAAAGAACTGATATTAATGTTAATGTTATATTATAATTTATATAAATGTAAAAAAAAAAACTAACATTGGAATTAATTCAGGGCAAGTTTCTAAAATTTTCAGCAATAATTCTTGTTGTTTCAAGTGTTGAGTTGGTTTCAAAGATTTGATGAAGTAAGATAATAATCTATTGTGTACTCGAGTAATAGTGTTGTTGTTGTTATTATTGTTGGTAACAGTATCTTTGTTCAATTGATTTTTCAGATCAAAAGAATCATTATTATCTACTTCACCATAAGGATACCATCCTTCATCTTGAAAACAAATACCAACACCTGGTGTACAACAGATTGATAATAGAAATTTGTGTGCTAGGTCTGTAATAAATTTATTTGATTCTGGTAAATCTGTTTCAGATCTAGAATAAAGATTTAAAAGCTATTATTGTTTAATTTTTAAATTTTTTCAGATTTAATGATGATGATGATGTTGATGATGAGATTTAATACTTGGTTTAATAATCCTCTATTGAAAAATGCGAGTTTTGATTTTATACCAATTTTATTATCTAAAATTATATAATTATAAAAAGTTTGAAAAATTTCTTCTACAAACTGAAAGTAGAATAAGGAAAAGAAATTAATTATAATTTCTAGAATTTATAATATTTATTTAGAAATAAAAAAATCTTACCTCATAACTATCTTGAGATAAGCCTTTAAATATTAAATTTGCAAAATTCTTAGTTTCTAAAATATTTGATTTAATTTTTGCATCCCCGTGAATGAAAAATGACAAGACAAATCGAATATATAATATACGAATATCTTTAAAAAAAATATATATATTATTATAATTTTTCTTTCAAGAGTTTAAAAATTATTCATCATGAATTGAAAAATCGACTGTTAAACTGACCATCTTGTTGCATCTGTCGTGAAATATTTTGGGAATCTTTTCTTCTAATATTTACTAATTTTGAAAATACCTTTACAAACAAAAAAAAGGAGTTTATATCAAGTATTTAACCTTCCCCCAAAAATAATATTTATTATTGTTACCTTTAAGTTAAAATGGAATGTTTCTTGTAATTCTCTTGTGGTTGAAATATCATGTGAGTTCATCATTATCAATAGTCTCAATGTTGATTGACATAATGGTAATCGATCAGAACTTAAATTTCGATCAATTGTTTTCATATAATTCCTGATAATTCTACGAATTATAATGGTTCCGATAGATTTTAATGAAGGATTCTTTGTTGTATGTTGAATAATATTTGCAAAGGAATTTGGTATTGTCACTTCAAGTTTTGTCAAATTATTATTATTCTATATTACAATTAATATTCACTTGGTAATTATTTTTTGCATTATTGTTTAGAATTCAAGAACTAAATAATGAATGATGAATTACTTACAGATCTTTGAGAATCCCAAATTTTAAATAATTCTGAGCAATCGTTTGGATTTTGTATGAATTCATTAAGATCTAATATTTTTTCTTGTGACATTAATTATTATTCTTGTTATAAAATTTAAAAAATTTTGATCTAATCTTAGTGGTACAAAGTGATTAATATAATTATTCGCGTCCGCGAGACATCAATTACTAACTATTTTCTTGTGTCTGTGATAAATAGAAACTATAGCATCCTTGTAAGTTCATCATGTATTACAATTTAAAAATTTAAATTGTCGGTAGATGTTAACACGAATACTTTTCTTGCCAGATTTCTGGGAGCAAACCCTTCCAATTATGGAGGAGCGTTGCAGAATAGAACCTTTATTGTATCAACTCGAAAAATATTACACGAAACACTTTTAACAAAACTCAAAATACTTGTTGAAACCTGAGCAACGACAATAACAAGAATTAAAAATCTTTTTTTTTTTTTGTTTAATAAACATTTTTATTAAAAGGTTCTGGCATTGGCAACTCATGCTACGCACCCAACAAATTGTTGGTTATACTGTGGAAGAAGAGCATCACGGTGAAGATTGCCATCAATACATGATGTGCAATATTGTCTTTATTTTTTGAGATAAGTATTCAATATTTCTTTTTTTAGGGTTCAAAATTATTCAGTCACTTTTAAATTATGATTTAAAAGAAGCTAGTGATGTTAGCCGGCTAAGATTTTTCTATTGGCTAGCATCACTAAAAGAAGCTAAAAAAAATATTGGAAAACATTGGAAGATCTCGGTCATCTTTGATTTTAAAGGAAAAGGCTAGAAAATTTTACATAATAGGAAAAGCGAGCTTGCCTTTAAATTTTCGTAACACTACCATGCAATTTTTAATATATTAATAAAGGCTTCTAACGATTTCAAAAAAAAGAATTCATCTCATTAATTAACAATTTACCATGTGATATACACTTAAATAATGGATAGTTAAAAAAATATTATCATATTAAAGAAACTTTATTAATTGTTTAATGATAATAAATAAAATAAGTAATAAGATAAATTCAATATGCAAAATTAAATTTTAGTAAAAACAATTAGCCTTTCGATTTCCATTATACGTTCTTGATCTTTTTTAGGTCAGCTTCAAAAATTGGTGACGATGATGAAAATGTTGAACATAAAATCGCGCGTTTTGAGATTGATTCTTCGTCGTTTGGAGTATTAAGAAAAGCATCTGAAATTTTTTTTGTAAAAAAAATTACACAAATTCAATTTATATTTAACGTTATATTTAGTATACAATACATTGATAGTTTCATTGACCTCATTTACTTCATCTTGAAAAATTTCTTTATTCTTTTCTTGATCATTTTCCATTTCTTGAAAATGCTTAAATTTGATTTTGATTTCGATTTTGATTTCTTCGATTTCTTTTTCGACATTTTTGTTTTTATGCTCTTTTTCTAATTGGTTGTTTGCTAGTACGTTATTGTTTAGTTATAAATTGTTAAATGGATCTATTGAAATCAATCGTTTCATTTGATTTCACCAGAAAGAAAGAAACTAAAAACAAATTGACTAGAATTATGTTTCCTTTTATACCGAATTTCATGATCAGAACAAGTAATGATTACATCATAATAATAATTACATCATTATATCATTTGACGTAAATAATCACGTAAATCTTATACAAATACTAATACTAATACTAATATTAAATATTTGATTATGTAACGCTATTGTACCGTGTAATTTTAAATTCATATTTTATCACTATGGGACCTCGGACAATCATATTAAATGGCTAGTGAGTTTCCTTTTTGGGCCTTTTTTTTTTAAAAAACCCCAATTTTTATTATGCAAATGCTTGAATTCGTGATCCGTGAAACATCTGCAAAATTTTCATAACAGAATTTGGCACAAAATTTTGCAGATCACTAATTAAAATTTTCTGGACTCCAACTTT